CCATCCCAAAGAGATATGACCCAACAGAAGGCGGAGAGCATCAAGCAATATTGTTTATATCACATGCAAGTAAAATTTTGCTGAAGTATCCAAAAATAGTTGCAACATTGCATGAACAGGGAACTGCCAGAGATTCAAGCTGGATTCAAAAGAGGATGTGGTATAGGGATATCCTTGCTGACATCAGATGGATCTTGGCTGAGAGAAGATAATACCAGAAACGTATTTCAAACAGTACACCCTTCAATATGGATTGTAAATGTAAAAAAAATGTAAAGAAAACAAAAATCCTCACAACTAGACCAATAAGTACTATCATGATTAATGGAAAAAAGATTGAAGTTGTCAAGGATTTCATTTTGTTTGGATCTATAGTCAACATTCATTGAAGAAACAGTCAAGAAATCAAACAATGTATTGCATCAGGCAAATTTGCTATGTAAGCCCTTTTTAAAGTGTTCAAGCAGAAAGATATGTTTGCCGACTAAGGTACGCTTAACCCAAGCCATGGTATTTTCAACGATCTCATGTTGTTGTTGTTAAGTGCCATCTAGTTGGTTCTGACCCATAGAGTCCCTGTATAGGGTTTCCAACAGGCAGCTGGTAAGCTTGAATCCCCCATCTTGTGGTTCAAACTAACTTTGCGTCCAATGCATTAGTCCACAGCACCACACCAGGACTCCAATAGTCTCATATGCATGTGAAAACTAGATAATGAATAAGGAAGATGGGAGAAGAATCAATGTATTTGAATTACAATGTTGGAGAAGAATATTAACATGTCTATGGACTGCCGGAACAAAGAAATCTGAGGAGTTGGAAGAAGTAGAGGCAGAATGCTCCTTAGATAGGTGGAGGGACTTTGTTGCTGGCACTTTGGACATGTTCTCAGGAGGGACCAGTTCCTGGAAAAGGACATCATGCTTGAAGCGGAGGGTCAGTGAAAAGCCGCAAGATCCTCAGGGAGACAGATTGATACAGTGGTAACAGCAATGGGTTCAAAGGTCAAAACAATTGTGAGGAAGGTACAGTATCAAAACAGTGTTTCATTCTGTTGTGCATAGGGTTGGTGTGAGTCTGAACTGACTCCAGGTTACCTAACAACATTATCAACAACATAAAGGAACACCAAGGAGGAATGTACTTCTCAAAACAATCACTTAGAGGAGACCAAAAGGGTAGAAGCGGCTCAAAAACAAAGCTCAGATGGCAGGCAGAGGCGAGAAAGAAGAAAGAATGAAAATGGAAAACCCGAGAAGGAGGAAGGGGAAAGAGCTTTGTTACACTGGCGAGCTTGCCATCAATTCACAAAATAAAATGTCTATCAATGGGAAATTAATATGCCATGTAAGCTTTCACCCAAACTACAATAATAATTTTTAAAAAACGAATACAGTTATCCAGAACTGAACATTTTTTTCTTTCTCTTTTGAATCGAGTCGCTTTTCTGTGTGTGCCAGAAGAGCAGAGCCAATAAACAAATCCCATGTGACTTTGTTCAACCCACCACTGCCAGTAACGTTCTTTCTGCAGAGTAAACTGGACCAGAATAGACACAAAAAACAAAACAATTTATTAAGTGAAGGACGTGCTTAGGAGGTTTTATACATAGAGACCATGACCTGCTTTCAGAAGGCAAACTGAATGAAGAGTTCTAAGAGAGGCAAACATTTGCAGAGCTATTGTCAGTGAAGGATTCTTAGCTATTCTTTTGAGCAAAACCAGACTAGTGCATCAAAGTTGCTTCTGAATGCCTTTCTCCTAGTTTCCTGACAGTAAGTAAAAAGTTTTGTAATTTTCATGCTGCATATGTTAATTGACAGATCTTGATTAACATTAACTTATTATAGTACTCAGGTATTTCTAAAATATCCTATTATATATTATAGACCTGTCGAGTAATGTAATTTGTATAACTCAGTTATTTTAGCAGAGGTATATACAATTTTGATGTGCAGATCAAAGGAAAACTGGACTTAGATATGTGTATAAATATTGTAAATTCTTAAATGGACACTACTCTGAATGTCCTTGGAAAATTTCCAAGTTTTTGCTTCTTGAGAAGGGACGAGTTCCCTTTCCCTGTGGCTTATATTTTTCTTTAAAATGTCTTTGTGGTTTGCTTACTGAGCAATTCAAACAAACTCTGGGTCCATAAAATAATTTTAATTCTTTATTTTATCAAGCTAGAAAATAGAAATTATTTTGTTTTTTGGTAGCTTAACCTTTTGTTAAGGAAAAGAGGAAGACCCCCAACGAGATGGATCAGCCAGGTGACATCATTGATGGTGTCAAGTGTGGTGGCGGTAGTGAGGTTGGCCCAGGAT